TTCCCTCTTCTCTCTTTTTCTATACTAGGGATTTGCTTAGGTCCTAAACCTTGCACATTGTTAGTAACCACTCTACCAGTGAGCTGTCTCCCAGTTCCAGAACTATTTCTTAAATTAGAAACAATTTCTCAGCGATTCTTCTCTATTAGAAAGCTTGCCTTAGCTTGACATCCTGAAACTATCAAAGGAAATGTCAGACATAGGTAAATGTCAAAATGTGCCTGAGTAAGTAGCTATAGAGGCTCAGCTGTATTGACATGAATATCCACAAAGATGTACAGTGGTAGAATCAAACAGTAAACCAAGGACAATGCAGTAAACCTTTTAATTCCAGGTTGATGGTGCTTGAGGTGTGGAGACTAGGTTAGTGTGTGCCTCAGTGAGGAGACACCAAAGACTAATAGCCACCACATCGAGGAGACACCTAAGAGTAATAGCCACCACATCTCCGTTTTACTAAGGAGAAGGGTATTTTGTTTTGGTTTGTTTTTTTCTGATTAGCCTAAGAGAACTTCTTGACATGTAGTATTTAAAATTAGGTTTTCCAGGTGTCCTTTTGAGTTATTGCCTAACTTTATGCCTTAACCATCTGTGTCTGTCTGACTTTAAGAATGGTATTTCTCTTGTTTCTGGAAAATTAGCATCTGTTACATCAGGCAGCTGTTGGTTCTTGTTTGTTCCTGTTATGTCTTTTACTCAGTGAACACTTGTCTTCATTGCGCAGACCAGATCAATATTCCAATCCTAAATGCTCTTTTAGCACAAAGGCTATTGCAAGATTTATAAGGCTGAGACGAGGTCTGGAGTGCACTATAGAGTAACTCTGAGCCACTGCCTCCGCTGTGAGGGCTCAGCAGCCTTTCCCAGCACGGTCAGAACAGAGCAGAGGTTGATGGGTGTGCCACATTTTCTAAGTAGGACCATGAGCCCAGAAAGTCACCTAATATTTTTTCTAGTTCAGCTTTGGTTTTTGTTGATTTTTTTTTTCCTTCAATGTTCAGAGAAAGTAAAGAAATTGCATTTGTTAACAACACATAAGACAGATTTTGATTGAATTAAGTTACTCTAAGAGCTGCTGATGTGGTGTGGGGGTAAATATGTATTTGAAATGTGCAGGCTTAGTAAATTCAGATAAAAGACCAAGTATTGAGGTATACAGCTTTTCCAGAGGGGTGAAGAAAATAGAACCAAATAATCCCACAGCTTCTTGTGATCAATTGCCAACTATGTGTGGAAACAACTATTTTATGAATATTCTCAGGAATTCAAACCCCATTATAGAAAATACCAATATCTTTTTTTGTTGTTTATTTAAGACAGGGTCTCCCTGTAACCCCAGTTAGTCTGGGACTTGCTGTGTAGACCAGGCTAGCCTTGATCTCACAGAGATCTGCCTGCCTCTGCCTCCTGAGTACTAAAATTAAGGGCAAGTGCCATCGTGCCCACCTCCAAAATGCTAAAATCTTAAGCCACTAGAAATGTATTGTAGTTCTATCACAACACTGTTATACTCCTCATACTTAAGACCTGATAAACCCCAGTGTGAGGGGAAAAGGAAAACTTAATGACTTAGTTGGGTGAGGAGAGAGGGATGTGGGTGAGAACAGTGAGAGCCCAGGAATAGGGAGCAGTATTGAAACAGACTTGAAGTTAAATTGCCTCAAGAAGGAAGCTGTTTAGAGCAGAATCATAAACTAACAACAGTTCTGTTTGTCTCAAAAAGCTTTTTTAATTCTATACTGTGCTCCCTCTCTACTTGTTTTTTTAATGTGTATTATTTTATTCTGAAGGCTCGTGAAGAAGAAATGACTACAAAAGTAAATAACCTGCAGGCTCAACTTGCGGAACTACAGAAGAAATACGAACACAAGCTGCAGCAGGAGGAGAGCGCTGGCGACAAGGTGAGGGGAATTTAGTGCTTCCTGTTTCCTGAAACTGTTGCTGGTTCCCTGTCTTGACCACCTCCGTTTATCGAAATTACTCCTAACAAAACCTTTCTCCTCCCACTGTCATGTCATGTTGTTTTGTTTTTGTTTTTGTTTTGTGACCCACTGATTTTAGCCTGGGAGACGCACATGGGGCGTGGCTGTGGAGCTGTCCACAGGCACCTCAGTAACTCACCAGTGGCTACACTGCTGAAGATAGTGACTCCCCAGCAGCCATCAACTGCCAGTAGCTTTCCGGGCTTGTTCGATGTGTGTTCTACTTTAGAGTATCTCCCTAGTTGTAGTTGTGTTGTGCTTTATTTCAAATCAAATCTGATCACCTTCTTTAAGTGGGAAAGCTGACTTCTTCTTTACTTGTGATTTAATAGTATTCTCTTTTATCTGTACTTGTAGATTATATTGTATACATTCATTTTCCTTTTTTTTTTTTTTCTTTTCCATCTTCAGGTAACAATTATGGAGTTACAGGTAAGATCTTCATTGAAGTTTCTGAAGATAGTGCTTTTTAGGAACATGCTTTTTTTTTTTTTTTAAAACAAATTAAAATATAAAGATACTGTTTTAACAAGGATAAATTTTGCAAGCAGTACAGAAAGATGTCCACGTAGTGATGAAACTGAAACCCATACTCATTTCAGATCCGTCTGACTTTTTTGTTCCTTCAGACACAGCTGGCACAGAAGACTACTCTAATCAGTGATTCAAAGCTGAAAGAACAAGAGTTCAGAGAACAGGTCAAGGCCTATTTGGTGCTTTTTGTTTATAACTAATGTAATTTATGTTGGTATGTACTTGCATCTCAGTTAACTACTTTAAAAAATGGCTTTAATAATGATTTAGTAGTTGACTTTCATTCTTACACAGGAAATTTTATTTCCAAATCCAAAGAGCTTGAGGTACTCTCTATAAATCTGTGATTGTATATATTTAAAACAAAAATATTTGTATCCTATTGTTTCTAGTGTTTAACATTTGAGTAACAATTTGTGTTTATATTAGTTATAATAATTTCTATTCTAAAAGAAGTTATTTTTCTGATTTGTCAGATGCAGGGTATAAAAATCATTTTTTCTGCTCTTTCCTAGTAGTTAAATTGACTTAATGTTATGTGATTGGTCCATATACTATTCATGGACTGTGTATGTTATTCAGTTTAGATACCCGTGTGCACACCTACAAGGATGAAGTACAAGCACACACACACAGTACGTGTCTGTGTGTGCTGTGTAATGTTTAGTGAAGTCTTTCCCCAAACTGTAGAGAAACAGTGGCTCAAGTCAATAGGCTCAGCTTGTAGAATAACTTTTTAGGCTTTCCAGTTCTTTTGAAATGCATACAGACAAAAGTCTTGACAATTGCTAAAACTGGGAAATTAAGTAAACTGTACACTGGGTGTTTTTGAAATTTTTGTAATGTTTTTTGAAAAGTTTATAAAGACAATTAAGTTTTAGTGTTGCTTCTTCCTTCCCAGGAGTCTGTTTTCACTCATTCTCAAGCTTACCACTTTAAAATTCCTTCTTCAAACATCTTTAAATCTTCAAAACTGCCATAGCATAACAGTTTCTTATCAGTCATTATGATAAACTGCACCTAGCATAAACTTATTTAAATAATTTTAAACTTTATGTCCATTAAACAGTCCCTCCGTATTACCTGCTCCCTTCAGCCCCAGCAGCCCCTAATCTGCTTTCTGTCTTTGGATTGCCTATCTGGATGTTTTATTTAATGAAATCATGCACTATATGACCTTTGTGTTGACTTCAAAAGTGAAACTATATACACACATAGTTTTGTTTTAGATTTAATTTTTTAATTTTTATTTATGTATATGAGTGTTTTGCATGCATGTATGTAAAATACACTGCAAAGGTTTCAGAAGAGGGCATTGGATCCCCCAGAATTGGAGTTATGGATAGTTGTTAGCTGCCATGTGGGTACTGGGAATCAAACCTGGGTCCTCTGCAAGAGCAGCCAGTGCTCTTAACTGCTGAGCCATCTCTTTTTTTTTTTATTTTATTTTATTTTATTTTATTTTATTTTATTTTATTTTATTTGTGATAGAGTCCCACTATACAGTCCTGGCTGGCCTGGAACCAGATTGACCTTGAACTCATAGAGATTCTCCTGCCTCTGCCTCCCAAGTGCTGGGATTAAAGCCCGGCTACTCCATACTTGATTCCTTCCTATGAGCAATATCTGAGTTGTCTCCATGATGTGGATGCATCACGTTCTATGTGGTCATCCCTCAGTTGATAAACATTTGGACTTTTTCTACCTTCTGGCTGCAACAAGCAGCATTGCTAGGAACATTTGTGTACAAGATTTTACTTTATATTTGCAATTCTTTTGGGTGTATGTATGCCCAGGTGTGGAATTGCTACATCATATATTTCTGTGTTAGACATTTTGAGAAACTGCAGACTGTTTCCATAGCAGCTACTCCATTTTATCTCACATTAATAATGTACAAGTACTTACTCCATCTTTCATGTCCTCGGTAACAAGTTCTTTGGGTTAGAGCATTCTGAGCAGGTAGCTCTAGGCACCATGAAGGTACAATGAAGTAGTATTTCATTGTGGTTTTAATCTTCATTTTTGTGATGAATTAATGATGTTAAGCATCTTTTCATCTACTTATTGACCCTTTGTATCTCTTCTTTGAAGCAATATCTATTAATGTCCTAGACTCATTGTTTCTTTGGTTGTTTCCCTTTTGTTGTTGAGTTGTAAGTGCTTTTTATATAGTAAGGATTCTGATTTCTTATCAGATACATGATTTGCACATGTTTTTCCCATTTTATAATTTGTCTTTTCACATTTTTCATACTATCCTATGATACACAAGCATTTTTGGTTTTAATAAAATTCAATTTGTATATTTTTTTATTGAGTATGCTTTGGTTTCTCCCTAAGAAACTGTTCCTTTTATTTGCCTGTACTGTGCCTTCAGAAAAACAAAACAAAAAAAACAACCAGTGACATGTAGTTTCCATGTTAATCTTATGTTATGGTTTGAATATTGTTTTTAGATTAATAATTTAGAAGACCGTTTGAAGAAATATGAAAAGAATGTATATGCAACAACTGTAGGGACACCTTACAAAGGTAAGACTAATTTCCTGTCTTGTGACTACTGGGTCGCTCTCTCCTTCCCTCCCTCCTATTGGTGGATTTATGCATAATCTTTACTTTTTGTCTTAAATTCCATATTCTTTTTCTTATTTTACAGTCTTTTTATTGATTGACACATAAAAATTACATATACTTACTGTTTGTAATATGATGTTTTAAACTATGTATTATTGTGAAATGCATAAATTGAGCTCATTAGTTCACATAACCTCACATACTTAACCTTTTTCTTTGTTGTGAAAACACTGAAAACATACTCTCAGTGATTTCCAGTACTCTAATAACAGTATTCAGTTTAGTCACAATATTGTACTATAGCTCTCTTGAACACTGTTTTACTGTCTAACTCAATTTTTTTATCCTTTGAATAACAAACACCTTCACTCCATCTAGCCCTCCAGCTCAGGGTAGCTACCATTTTATTCTATTGTCCAAATCCAGCTTTCATAGCTTTCCTGTGGTGGTGAAATCATGAGATACTTGTCTTTCTGTGTCTGGCTCATTTTATTTGGTACAGTATCCTTTTTTGGGGGTAAATTTTTAATCGAATTTTTGTATATATCATATAGAACATCTTAATGTTAATCATCTTTATGCTCCCTTCCCCATTGGCACCCTCCCGTATTCCCCACCCCCACACTGGATTTCATGCATTCTGTCATTTGTGTTAAGGTCTATCAAGTCAAATTAGTGTTCCCTGACATCCCTCAGTGCAAGTTCATCCACTGAAGTCTAGTCAGCTGATCTAATGTCCCTCCCTTTAAGAAGATCA